AAAAAATTGCCGGGGCATCAAGTTTATTTTTGAACTATTGCAGGTTGTCCAAGAGACAGAAACAATTATTGCAGCTACTGGACAATGCAAAGTAGCACTAGAAATAATGAACAAAAGATAATAAGATGAGTCATCTGCAAGTCATGATGGAGTCTGTACGACTGTGCTTCGTAGCTGATATGTAATTATGCTTAACTTTAGCAACTGTTTGCCGTTTAAAAGTCTGCTTAAGAGAATTGTTTTTCAAGTAGTTTGTCTTCAATTTCCACAGATCTGCATTATTAAAAAAAGGAAAACCAAGTGTATGGAGATCAAATCAAGCCATTTGTCCAACAGATCCATGACAAATTCCAAAGGATAGTTGCTGGAATGAAAGTTTGACTTATGTGGTAAGGGTGAAGAGTTTGGACCTTTTACTTCTGGTCCAAGATGGGGTGGAGTAGGGTTCCTGTGCTGGAGTTTGTCCACTCTGGCTGCTTTTCTTTTTCTTTTTCTCTTCTTTCCTTTCTTTTCTTTTTTTGCACTTACCTTGTCCTGAGCTTGGACATCCTGAGCTTGTCCTGACATACGGCATGGTGGCAGTGAGAGCCCAGTGCGCGGACCTTGAACAGTCTGAAGCCAGGCCCACGGCCTGGACTTCAGGTGGGCCTACCACGGACCTTCAGCAGACCCAGGGTACGGACCTCGAGTGGTGTCAAGCTAGGCCCAGGGCGTGGACCTTGAGCAGACCCGGTGCCAACTAGAGTGGGCCCAGCGCAAAACTCGCATGAGCCCTGGCTTTTCTAGAGCAAACACAGGACCTGAAATCAGTGGATGCCACATCGGCAGAGGCGATGTCTACAAGGTAGGTTCAGTGGCAAAAAATGTCGCCTGAGGTTTGGCAACTTCATTGTTTATTGGGTCTGGTGCTGGCGGCAGTGAAGCGGTGGCCCAAGGGCATCATGGCAAGTGGTGAGAGATGTGACTCTGACGTTGGTTGGTCCAGCAAGGCGGTGGTGGAGGATTATCAGCCCAGTGGCAAAGATGGCGCCTGAGGAACAACAACTCTGATGTTGGTTGTGCCCAGTGTAGACGGAGACGGAGGCGGAGGATTGGCGATGAGCTGGCTGAGGATGCTCATGGACGCTCTTCAAGCTTATATCTTTTTTTAGCCTTATTTGTAAATTATTCAAAATGCCACTGTATCATGGCAACAAATGAAAGATTTTCACTGTATTTTATTGTATTCTTACGGTAAAATACACATGACAATAAAATCAAAATCAAATAACAAGTTCCATGTCCTAACCACTGCATGAGTTAAATACCCGAATTTCCTCTTGGTGACTAACTTATATTTCTGGCCATTAGTTCTGGTGTCACCTGCAAGTGTAAACCTCTTCTCCATATCCGCTCTTTCAAACCTGAGCAATACTAACCTAAGACTTGGACGATTGTTCTCCAACAAGCACAACTATCTTCCTTGGTACTTGGCATGCCTGGTAATAACCAGTAAGGAGTTTCCCCTGATTTCCATTGAATTCAATTTAGCTAAACCCCTTTGATGCTATATTTAGTCAAATGCTACCTTGATGTGAAGGGCAATCACACTCACCTCACCTTTGAACAGCTTTATTATGGTTATAATATTGACAGTTTCTGCATCACAATCTGTAAAGCCATAAACCTGAGAGAAATACAATTGCAAACAGATCCGCAGTTGATGGGTTAACATAGAACAATGTCAAGTTGCATGCTTGGAAAAAGTATGAAGCAAAATGACATTTGTGTTGCCTTCCCATGTAAGTTTGTGAGTGGCAAGCAGTGCTGTTCTGGGAAAAGCTAAATGATGTGGAGCCTGAAAAGCGAAGCAGAAATACCGCATCATTTGTTGTAATCCAATCTCTATACCTTTGGGAATTCTTTCAATCTGAGCTCAGAAGGATGGAATTAACTTGCCACGCACCACAGTCATAATTAAAGACACTGAATAAAATGAAATTTTCCAGTGTCAAAATTGTCCATTGTCAAAAAAATCTGCATAATAGAAAGCAAAGCAATACAGAGCACATAGATGACTAAAATGCCAAATAATGGCACACCGTTCAACACTCAAATCTCAAGTTGAAAAGTTCCCTTGAAATAGATCTTTTTAATGCTGTGTTGAGTTAGAGAATCTGCTGCCTACTTGACTCAGTGAGTGAGGTATGCATCTGAGCCGTACAATATGGAAGGCTGATTCTTTAAAAGCTGCGAATGATGGAAATCTGAAATAGGAGGAAAAAGAAAACTGGCTGAACTCAGCAGGTCAGGCAGCATCTAAGGAGAGAAACTTTTAACTTTTCATGATTTTTCATTAGAACTGACCTCTAATTCTGGGCTCTGTTGTATGGACTGTGGTTAACAACACCTGTGCGAGGGACATCATTTTGGTCTGTGCTGGACTAGAGCTATACTGCAGTGTGAATTAGTGCCACATGCAAGTATAGGGAAAATTGAACGATGTCACTTGCATTCCTGTTCTACTGTTGATACAGGCTTTCATGCACTTCAGTGCCACTGAACCTGATATCACCCTTTTTACTGGCAAGGTTGCATCAGTGAGGGAGTAGTGCCACAATTTGATCTTCTGAAGTGGGGCATGCATAAATGTTTAAACGTCTGTTCTGAATGTCGATGGGAGTGTTCAGTTCTTTTGTTATTATAGGGTGATCATACAGGGAGTTCCCTAAGTTATTGTTCAATGCTGGATATCTGGTATGTATTGCTATTACACGTCAGTTGTGTCTCATTTTCACACATCTGCTGTTTTAAACTTTTTCAAATATGGTATTTTCTTCTTGGTTTTGAAGATCTAAAGTCCTTTACTTAGAGATAAGCATTTTTTGAAGCAGCTCCCTGGCTCTAAACACCTTGCAGTGCTGCAGCTTTGACATAAAGCATAATGTTTCTTGATGCTTTAATGATATGAAATCATATAAACTGATTCCTTTAAAGCAAGATTCTTGTGGAGATTTACATTTCCATTGCATCACATGCTTCTGCTGTTGACCATTGTACTAATAGATCCTCCTTTTGAGCGCACTTTTTTTTGTAATTTTTTTTTTCTTAATTCATTCACGGGATGAGGGTGTCGCTGGCCGGGCAGCATTTATTGTCCATCCCTAATTGCCCAGAGGGCAGTTAAGACTCAACCACATTGCTGTGGGTCTGGAGTCACATGTAAGCCAGACCAGGTAAGGATGGCAGTTTCCTTTCCCAAAGGACATTAGTGAACCAGATGGGTTCTTCCAACAATCAACAATGGATTCACGATAATTGTTAGACTGTTAATTCCAGATATTTTTTTAATTCAAATTCCACCATGCCGTGGTGGGATTTGGACCCAGGTCCCCAGAACATTGTCTGGGTCTCTGGATTAACAGTCCAGCGATAATACCACTAGGTCATCACCTCCCCCTATTGTTTCACCTTCCTTTCACGATGTGAGAGGTTATTGCATTTCAGGTTGAGTTGTGATTTGGGAGCTCTGATTTATGTTAGTGTAGAATTTGCAGTGACAACAGCAAGTCTGTTGGCTTTCAGTGTTATAATGGAAGACAACTAACAGCAACCTTTGGCATGCACAGTTAACTGAGAAATCCAGGACATTGTTGTCAGAGATTCCCTGCTCCACTGCAGGGTTTACTGCTGCAGTCCTTACTGCTGCAGTCCTCTCCCAATGACTCAGCATTCAAATGCCTACAGCAGCTTTAAGTCATTGTACATTTCCATCAAGTCTACACTAAAAATGCTGAAAATGTCAGGATGCTTGCATTCAGGATTAAGCCAGTTCTTAATGGCATGAAATGTGATAATTACTAATGAATAGTCTCTCTGGCCCTGAACTTTACTTCTGGAAATATCAACTCTCATTTCCTCGAAGAAAATTTCTGCAGGATATTATAAAAGTATATTTCTTTCACATTTTACATCTGTCTCAATCTATCTCCTTCTCTTCATCCAAACTGTACTTGCCAATATTTAGCTTGCATGATTTAACTCAAATTTATATTTACTGTTTTATTTTTCCTAATTAGACTTTGCATGATACTGTCAGGATTCTTCAGTCTGATTGCTTGAGGAGCTTCACTGTTACTTGCCCTTGTTCACAGACTCCCTGCAGAGGAGGTGACACTGAAACTGACCTCACATTCAAGGAAATCTCTGCTGGCAAGTTCACAAAAAAGGTGTGGATTGTTGCCGGGGAGGTGAGCCGTGAACCCCTTTGTTTGCTGCTGAGAGCAAAATTTTTCCAAAGTTGATTATGCTCCCTTATTTTTGAATTGGCTTGAAGTCATGAGGCATTCTGAAATCCTGGCTTTCTCTGGTTGTCTTTGGGGGTCGTGTGAACGACTGACGTTGAAGCGTCTGCACTTCATCAACAGTGCTCACTGGGATCTGCAGTTTGCAGGCTTGTCTTACCACTGAAAATCCCTATTGCACATTAATTTTAGCATTGCTGTGACACTCCACTTATTGTGTAAGTGTATCCTTAGATAAAGTCCAAATTATGCCAATCCGTGACTGTCCCTTGTAGATTTATGCTGTATTTTGTCTGTGCCACATGTTTGAGACAAACACCTACGCAGACAATGTTACAAGACTCATGAAATACCATGGGCAGCAAATTTTTGTTTATAATTGAATAAACTCTGATCTGCCATGCTTTTAACTTCACTTTTACCACAATCTTCAGCAAGCATTGATTTACTGGACTAACTGGATCACTTCCATAAAACCTTACTCTGTTGTTCCAATTGGCATGGGGCTCCATCAGTGTTGCTGGTTGTAAAAGGCTCCGTCATGCTGCTGGCATGACAGGACACGCAATGAAGAAAAAACACGGGTTAGGAAGAATTTTGCAGGTTGAAAGGTTTCCTTTGGGTGCGAACTGTGCAGCATTCAAAAGGGAAGAGTTGCACCTGATGAACCTGCTTTTTCATGTCACTGATGTTCGTTTTATTGTGGTTTTGTTTCAGAGGGCCTAGCGGTGGGAGTTGGCTTCGGCGCTATCGGCAAGACTGTATCTGCGACATTTGAAAGTGCACGGTAAGCCAGTGTTCACCTTTTCCCATTTTGAGGTCCTCCTTACCCACAATCTGTCAGTCACATTGGAGAGGAACTTTACTGACTTTTGGTCCTGCCTTGTCACAGCAGCTGCCTCACCTCATCAAAAGGAAAATCTGATCATGTGTCTTGGCTTTCAAAGTAAGAAAAAACAGAAAATAGTTTATTTGAGCTGCTAATGACGGGAAAGGGAGAGGAGGAGGTGAAATGATACAGTGTAGGTTGTGATCACAGTTTGGGGCCTTTACTGAGTCGATAGTTTGTTCAGGAACACACTGAAGCAAATAACCAAACTTTAAATGCATCACCAGGACAGGACACCTCTAACAGATGAGACCATAAATATGTAGTGGTGGACTCATTGGATGCAAATACAGTCTAGAGTGAGATTTGATTAAAATATTAGTGCTGTGTTTTACTATACGCTCCTAGGTTTTTGTATATTCTGTTATAAAATCTTAAGCACTCTCATTGGCTGTGCCCCTGGCTGACAAGGCACTAAGCCCCACTATTGCCTCCATAATCCTCTGTGACTTTCCCTTCCTCTAACACTATGATCAAGTCCAACCTCTTGGACCATGTTTTTCACCAAGTATCCCTATTATCCCCTTTTATGACTTGGTCTTAAGCTTTGTTTGGCATTGCTCCCGTGAAGTACCATGGAAAGTTTTGCCCTGTTAATGGTGCTACAAGCACGCAAGTTGTTGTTATTATAATGGAACACTGTTACTGGTATGGAAGTTGTTCTGACAAAATTCAGATCTGGTAATCTTGAAGCACAAATGTTTTTTTATATCTGAGAGCATTCTGGATACACTTTACATCAGCCTGGCGTTTCAGCAGCAACTATTGTTTTCCATGTTCCTTCCCACGTGTAATGTAAGGTGCCCCCAAAAAGTCAGAGAACATAACAAAAACTACACGAATAAAGCATGTTTGATGGAATGGATCTTTTTCATTTAATAGGTTATTTTAATGGGTTCTCTGGAACAAAGATCAATTGTGTTTAAAGAATGGGTTTAGTCCTTGGAAACTGTAAATCTTGCTCAACAACCATATCTGTGTAGAAATGCAAGGAGAGCTGAGAGGTATTTGTGCGCAGGGTTAAGACTTTCCCGGTGAGAAAAGGTACGCTGTTTGCTTTGCACCTCATGACATGCCTGAGATCAGTAATTCATAGACTGGCAGGTTGAGCCTGTGGACGGAGCATCTCACAAACTGCACCACGACAACACCAAACCATTTGTTGAACCAAAGTTAAATAATAACTGTATCTGGCAACTACTAAAGCAAAAACCTTCCCAGAGTCTGACCTTTAAAACCAACTCAGAATGTTGTTCCTGGATCGAGGTCAGGTCACCCTTTGAACATCAGTTCATACGCTGATGCAAAGTAGCTTTTATCTTTTTCACAATGCATGTGGAATAATGCCTGCACAGGCAACAAATCACCCGCTAGAACCACGAGATTCAGGGGATGTGAATATTGGGGAACTGTGAGGACTGCTACCATTAAAGGAGACACATTTCGGCAATTGCACAGCGCTGGACAAAACAGGATACATAAAACCTGAAAGAACTGCGGATGCTGTGAATCAGAAACAAAAACAAGAATTGTTGGAAAAGCTCGGCAGGTCTGGCAGCATCTGTGGAGAGAAGTCAGAGTTAACGTTTCAGGTCCAGTGGCCCTTCTTCAGAACAGGATTTATGTTTATTTGAAGCTGCGATGGAAGTTCATAATTCACTTGCACTCCAATGACTGTGGGACTCTCTTTCTGTGTATAAATTTTCCTATAGTCATTACTTATCAATTGGAACACACGTTGCTGCAAAAGCTGAGAGGCAGATGATATAACATGAAACTGTTGAGCTGTGGAAAGGGCTGCCTTATTACATGAGCGAGGCTAACTGGTTTCGGTGTCTTTTGGGTAGAATAACATCATTACAGCCATCTCTCTAACTGGGGGCACAACCTTCTAGTTTTATAGTTGCCCAGAAGTACTTTAGTGAACCCAACATCAAGCTAGTCAGCTTAACTGAAATGGGCAACGGAACTTCAAGTTAATCCTCTGTACTTGACAGTGACTGAAATGTCCAGCAATGAACAACCTGGTGGGTTTCATATTTCTGAATAAAGAGTCAAATTTGTCTTTTTAATGATCAGCCTGAGGTTGTTGGGTTTTCACTGTAGTTTCCGTGCTATTATTTACATTGAAGATGCACAGAAAATAGTCAAACAGTGTTTAAAGTTTGCACTGTGGCAGTTGGTTTTTTTAGCCTCGCACTACCCTGATAGAATTTGATATTTTGCCATTAAAATAAGATGTTTGAGGAGATTTTATACGCTTGGCTGTTGTATGTAAATGTCCCGTATGTCCTTGGATTCAGAGCTGTTGCAGCCTGATGCTTTCACCAGATTTCACAGCTTTCAGTTCCTGCAAACACTTCAAAGCCACTTATGAATCCCTGAGAATGAGAAAAAAATTACATCAGAGAGAAATTTTGCTTATGGTAAGTTAAACGACATTGATATCTGAAATGCTTTTAATTTAACCAGTGAAAAAGATGCGTTGGTATCAAACACAATTTGAGAAAGCCAAGAAGAGCCAGGTTTATTGGAGCCATCTGTCTAAGCTTGTGACCTGAGCAATAGGCCAGCTCCCCTGACCCCCTTGATTAGAAGTGCAAACCTCTTAACATTACCAGACAAGACTCAATGTAACACTCAAGCAGACGTTCACAATGGGTTTAGGTGGGAGTTACATTAATAATCCTTATCACAGAAAAAGAAGAAGCAGTACTACTTCAATAATTGGATAGTTGATTGCTACATACTAAAGCATTTGAGAGAAAAGCTTGTGAATTAAGCATAAAGTAGCCCCCTGTGCGCAGAAGATATTTTCAGAAGGCAATCAATTCCATCACAGCAGTTGTAAAATGAATTTTATTGTGAAGGTTTTAGAAACCTTGACTTTCTTTTTAACGTCTTCAGCATGATGATAGATCTGTGGACTATGTTGTGCATGAGTTATGTCACCTGTGCAGCCTTTACTGTCAAATTTGAACAGTGCAGCAGCCAACTTGCACCACAGGATTAGGGCATGAAACAACATTGGACTTTAGGCCATTTGGCCCTAAAAAATGCCCTGTCATTCAATAGGAGCATGGCTAATCTGGTTGAGGTCTCAACCCAACTTTCTACCTGTCTACCCCTATAGCCCTTGTTTATCAAAACTAGCTAACTTTGCCTTGAACAAACTCAATAACCCATCCTCCATTGCTTTCTGGGAATGAGAATTCCAAAGACTAACAACCTTCTGAGAGAACAGAATTCTCCTCGCGTCCCTCTTGGCTGTGCTGCCAACTCCAAGTTTTAGGGCGGCATGGTGGCTCAGTGGTTAACATTGCTGCCTCACAGTACGAGGGTTCGATTCCAGCCTCGGGCGACTGTCTGTGTCGAATTTGCACATTCTGCCAGTGTCTGCATGGGTTTCCTCCCATAGTCCTAAGATGTGCAGGTTAGGTGGATTTCCAGCGCTAAATTGTCCATAGTGTCCAGGGATGTGCAGGCTAGGTGGGTTAGCCGTGGGAACTGTGGAGTTACAGGGACAGGGTGTGGCTCTGAGTAGAATGCTGTTCGGAGGTTTAGTGCAGACTCGATGGGCTGAATGGCCTCTTCCTGCACTGTAGGGATTCTATGATTCTTATGTCCATTCTTCTGTGGATCACTTATTATTAATCCATGACTCACCAGTTCAGTCACTCAAAATGCGAATTGTTCTTGGATTGTGGTGAGACATCATTGCCTTGTTCAATGCTGCATTTGCTTGGAGCATCAGTGAATAGAAACAGAAATATGATTAATATCTGATTGAAGCATATGCATTAAACTTCTTGGGCTTGGAGTATCACTGTACAGTGCACATGTTAGTCATTGGTGGTAAAATTAAATGACCAAACCATTCCCCATTAATTACTTACATTCTTGATCAGTGATGAATGGATCCCTAAAACATCATGTACCAGGCATACCAACTTGTTCATAGAGAAGAGTCCAGAGTGTTGGAATGATGTTGTTGATAAGCTCCTCATTATCCAAGCTGCTAGTGAATTCATCATTCTCCTTGGCTCCTCTTGAGACTGAAGAGTCTGATATGAGATGCTCAGGAAGATCCACACAACTGGCAATTCAAACTGTTGTCACTGTTGTTGGTGTTTGGGGCAAATTCTGCAGTGGCTTCAGCTCTGGCTCTTGTCTGGGCATGTTGGATATTGCGAGTTTGGGTTAAATGGTCCCAGACACATGCTGAAACCAATTTCTGAATTTGTCTCCACAAGGGCCAATCTATTGCAGTGTTTTCCCAAGAAAAGTAACCAGCAGCTCTGAAGTTTGTAGGACTGTCTTTTGAGGAGTGCAGTAATATCCGTTGCTAATTTTCAGCATGACAAAACTTCAATTCTTGTCTGTTTAGGGGAAATGTTTGGAACATTGCATCAGCTGTGATATAATGTTGCCAGACTTTCAACAAACACTTTTCAATTTAATTAACACTAAATCATATTGCCAGTGTATGTAAGCATGTACTGTAACATTTACTGAGTTATTGGCAAAAATCATTTTTGGGCCTTGTTCAGGAAGGTCATTTGGATCGTGAGTGAGCAATAGCACTCTTGAGAGATTAGCTTCAGGGATATCAGTACATTTTCCTGTTCCAACACCATACAAAACAGATGTTGCATTAAATCTAATGTGCAGCACTTCTAACAATGCAAAATAAGCATTTACAAAGAGAAGGATCTATTTGTCAAGGATTTGATGGGTTTGATCATGGAAGTAATTTTGTGAACATGCTTAAGACCAGCTGATCTGTTTCTAACTGTGGCATTTCCTCATAAAATTACAGAAGATTATTGATGTAAAACTTGGCAGTATTGGGTAGAAAGTGTAAAATTTACCACTATTTATTTTTTAGCACTTGAATG